GTCGTGGGGGGGGGGGGGGGGGGGGGAGAGGGAGCCAGATTGGAGGGGGTAATTCCATTTTCCCAAGTTCACCTGGGAAAGTGGAATTAACGTTAAGATTACAGTAATAAAAAAGCAATTAATACTTTCGTCGGCCCTTCAATGGGACTACTATTTCTCGCTGGTCATATACACAGAATGGGGCGTGAACTAAATTGTGTACATTAAAGAGAACACTCATTACGATCACAATGGCTTTGGGACAAGTATTACAGGATTTGTCCCTCTTCATGTCACTTTAAAGGAAGATTCCACCTTTAGAAGATATTTTAATCATTACATTTAGCAGGTTTAACAGTTGAAGTCAATGTAAATTCTAACTGGATGACCTTACTTGGTTTCACCCTCCTTCCCTAATATGAATATCTTCTTTTTTTTTAACCTGGATTTGTTCTCTAATGAAAAACAAAGATGTAGTCAAGCCCATCATCTTCTAAAGGTGGAAAATCCCTTTAAATGTCATCTTGCTAGGAATAAAAATAAATATAACCACACCAGAGTAAATCAACTCAGCTCTGGGAACTAGAGCGATATCACACAAGCATATGGACATGCAGGGGGTAAATTCCCCCTCTTCTCACCAATAATTCCGAATGGATTTTAAATTGAAATGAGTCCTGCATATAGCTACACCTTCAGCCAATATGTGACCTCAAGCACTGGCTGCTGGTCTTATGTAGAGAATGGAAATGACAGGAAGGTGTTTAGGAGGTCCTACTTGTCTTCAGCAACCATTCAGTAGTCATCCAGTACAATATCAACACCAGACCAGCAGCTATTTGTGGTCACAATTGTGAGCAGGAATGATGCTAAGCGAGGTGCAGACAATGATCCAATGAAAGACCAATATGGGAAGGAAGACCTCCCCAGAAAATTGTGTCGCATCTGGCCTATCATCGGCAAGAACAGACAGGACCAAAAGTCTTAGGCCTGGTTCACACCTAGGCAGCACCTTTTTTGCGCGTTTTGTACGCGCGTTAACAGCACGCGGTCATTTGCTCTTTGTGCACATTTGTATGCGCATTTTAACACACGTACATGAAAACTCGAGTTTTGATTGGCAGCTCATAAAACATTGAGGGCAATGTAAGAACGCGCATATAAATGTGCCATAATGCTCACGGAAATGTGCAACATGCTTCTTTCCCGCGTTTTTGGGCATTTCCAATTAAGTCAATGAGGCAAAAAAAGGACTTCTAACTGTCCAAAGAAGCTCATGTACCTTTTCGTGCTTTTGGTGCTCAGGTGTGAACCAGGGCCATTGAAAATCATGGGATTTCTTGTGTTGGGCAGTTAAAAGCCCTTTTCAAACTGCTCAAAAACAACATAGGTGTGAACCAGGCCTTAAACTCCTGCACATAGGTTAGTAAAAAGAGAAAACAAGTAAATTCATATTTGTCAACCCAACAATGTCTATGTGTAACACTTCCTGTATTTTTTGTTGTTTGCAATTTGCTTACCAGAGGATAAGCACAGAGTTTGGATCCACCAGGTCACTAGGGGGGGGGTTGGGGTTGGAGGGAAGCCAGGTGCCAGTACTGCTGCACTCACCTTTTTCAGAAGTTGACTGCTTATACTTGTGTGACAGGGAACGAGTGATCCTATTCAGATCTGCTTGGTGGGAAGGGGGGTTATTCTGCAGCATGTCCAAATGTCTGATATCGCCCTAACGTTATTATCTGAGCACAGCAGAACAATGGAGTTGTAGGAAGAAATAGGTATTTCAACAACATTGCTGGTAGTATCATGGTCACATCTTCTCAAAAGCTTGCATCTTTAATAACATATGTTAGCCAAGAAAGGGTATCGCCCAAACTGCAAACTTTCCCTTTTAAAAAGTAGTAAATTTAGATGAAAGTTGTATCAGTCATATTAACTGGAAATTTGTCCTTAACACCACCAATGAGTCAAGGGGGACAGCCCTTGACTCATTGCCAGCATAGGATACCTCCCACCTTCTCCGACATTAAATTAAAGTGATATTAAACCCTCATGTTTTTTGTTCTTGATTCTCCACTTGTACAGCTGTTTTTTTAATACCGCCCATTTCATTTGTTTTCTTTTCACTGCATTTACCACGGCTGGCCCCCTCTCCTCCTGGTTACGGGTGTCTTCTTTGCCTAGCAGGTTGCAAAGGAGACCCCTGTGTGTGCGCTCTCCTGGCCGGGTATTGAGCCGTGCTGCGTGCATCTATTGACACACACAGCATTTAACAACGATGCTGGCATTATTCTGTTTTAAAGATTGATAAGTTTAGATAAAATTTGTATGAATTGTGTTGAGAGATAATAGCACTCATTACCACTAGGGGGTGTTGCAGACTTATTTTCACGCACACGATCACTTTCACTAATCTGTAGACATGCAGTGCCCCACGGTGCCTGTTAGTCGGTAATGCATGCTGTCCTTAGTACTCGTTCAGTGATGGAGGACGATGCTGATTCACACCAGATGTGTTGAGGCTGGCCACTTTTTCCAGCGCAGCCCCAACACTAGACAAGGCAATTTGCCCCGGTTCAAATGGGCTCAGTTCAGACCACCACGCTGCGGTGGTGTATGCTGAAAAAAGTACTGTATGGAGGAATTTGTTTTAGTGCAGTGGTGTGCAACGCAGTACAACCACATTGCACCGTGCTGTGCCCATAGAACTCGTGACATTTCGATAAAGTTCGAACAAAAAAAAGGTAAACAGTGTGATGCGCCACAATCAGTGCATCAGTACGGTGGCTGATAAAGCACCCCAGCAACCGCGTGTTGTAGCCCGGCTGCTGGTGTGAATCGGCCCTATAAGAATATCAATATTGCAGCTGCTATGCTGATGTGGGGCGTCCAACAAGCTCATTGAGGTGCGGTGCCCACATTGTGTATGTACTGCTGATGTCAGGTACCAAAGACCTGCTCATTTAAATTTTAGCTATTTTCCAATGGGCCACAGGGTTTGTATGTTGCATTTCATTATTTCAAACGCATTTTATTTTACAACAAAAATATTGCCATTTTTTATCCTAAACATTATTTAACTAGAGACCATGACAATCATTCTATAATTGTGAAATACCCATTTCTTCCCATGATACTTCCTCTCGCAGAATATTCCTTGGTGTATCCCCACAATACTTCTAAAGGGGAAAGACTTGGAGAGTAGATTTGAAGTGGAATAACACTTTAAAGAGAATCTGTCACTTTTTTAGGGCACAGTAACAGGTTCTATTGTAAGAAAGAAACCCCACCACCTGATAGTCACCTTACCCGCACTGCTCCGCCATTCCTTTGCTCTCTCAGAGCCCTTAATAAATACACAGTGATGTATGTGTATATCCCTCCCAGGATGCAGTGCTCAGACCTCAGTGTCCAATCACCAAGCCCAAACACTGTCACCTGACAAGGAGGAAGGTAACCCTTTGTAAGCTCTGACATGGAGCTTACAAAGTGTTAGGACTCCCAACTGCAGCAGAAAAATGGAGGGTTGGGGGAAAGCTGGAAAGCTGAGTACCAGTTTGTGGGGTGGTTTTCTTACAAGAGAACCTGTCGTTTTGCCCTGAATGACCAAACTTACAGGGTCCCTTCAAAGAAAATATGTCAAACCGCTTTTGGAATAGTGCCTGGGTTTGTTACAGGCATCCAGGGTAGAGCTGCTTTTTTAATCAGCAGAAAAAGACCCACTTTCTACATTATAAAGCAGACCTATGCCCAAAACCTAAAGCTATGTTAACATGAACACTGGTATGGGTGTATAAAATTGAGCAAAAGAGATGAAATACTTCCTTTTCCTGGAGCAAATGATGCTTAAAGGTCACGCCACTGCTGCTCACCTAACCAAAAGTTCAGAGTTCAGACCGGTTTATTCTCCCCTTCATGTTACCAAACAACTAGGCCTAGCACTGGGGGGAATCTGCAGCAGCATTTTCTCCCAGAAGTATTTTTTCACCTACTATTGCTCATTTTTATCCATCCCAATAATGTTAACATTTGAGTACAGGTCTAGTTTAACTTATTGTATTTGCTGTATCCAGTGCTAAATAAATATATATATGCTGTTTGTTTATACAGCTGATAGAAAGTGGGCTAGCATCAATAGGATACAGGCACGCATGTATGTAAGGAGATGCCCCATACATGCGCACATGTTGGAATGTATTGGCAAACACACATTCATTCAGCATTGCAGCTGGCATGTTATGCAGATAGTACAAGTCCCACAAGCAAGACACCAAACGTGATACTATATGTGGGGGTTATAGACCACCCTGCATCCAAACCAAACCTCACCCCTTTTTTCCTCTCTGCCCTCTTTTTCTCATCCTGCTTCTTCTTGTCTTTCTTCGCCTTCTCTAATAAGCTCTTACGTTTGGTGCTGGTCTTGATTGCAGGTTTCTCTGTCACCGGATCACCTCCGCCTGAGCCTCCACTGCCTTCATCAACTGATGGAAGAAAACAAAATTGATACTCAATTTGAGCAAAAAGTAGAGAGCATTAGTCTCCTATCCATACAGATTACAGTCTGCATTGCATTATGTTGGCTACTAGGGATGCACCGATACCGGTTTTTCGGTATCGAATACGAGTACATATATTTTTTTTCCCGGTACTCGCCGATATCGAATAGCAATACCGGAAGCCTCCCGGCTTCCCGATTAGCACGGAAGTCATCTCCATGCTCCCTCGTCACCAGGTGACAAGGAAGCATAGAGTCAGCTTTCTGGCCAATCAGGGGGCAGGTAATGGCTCTTCGCTTGGCTTCCTAATTGGCCAGCTTCTCGACCAATCAGGGAAATGGGCAGTCAGTCATTACATCATTACACTGCGCCTGGCTTCCTGATTGGCCAGGAAGCCGACTCCGTGATGAGTGAGAATGAAGCCGGCTTTCTGGCCAATCAGGAAGTCGGGGGCAGGTAATGACTCGCTGTCCAGCTTGCTGATTGGCCAGCTTTCCGACCATTAAGGAAGCTAGGCGGCGATTCATTACACGCTGCCCGGCTTCTTGATTGGCAGCATTTCAGGACGGCATCGGCTCCTCCGCCGTCCATTTTTTTTCCGGATCCCCGCTGCCTCAGCCCATACAAGTGGGGGAGAGCAGCGGGGATTCGGGCCCCCCCAGTGCCACTGGATGTGTCCCTCAATGGACCATAGAGAAAATATATTCTGCATACAGGTACTATAAAGGGGAAGGGTATGAGTTGGACAATATTATTTTGAAGCCGAATGCAAAGTTTTGCAGTGCATTTTATTTCAAGTGATCACTTACAAGCATCCTGTGTGTCGCTGTCCCTCCCGCTGTAGGCTGCTCGCAGTTTGCTCCTGACTACACGCAGCTGTATGCCCAGCTGGCGGGTTCTGGGGTCCGGAGGTGACATTGGCAGCTCCACCTCCGGGTTATTAATCTGATTCACCACACCGTCACCTGTCACCTGCGGGAGGTACCTGTGGGGTCATAGGAAGAAGCCACAATTAGGGCATGCCTGCTCTTTATGACTAAGTGGATTGGGTATCATTTCTTAGCCTCAAATGTCCGAAAAGCAGACATGTATTTTTTAGCCCCCAAAAACAATCAGATTCCCCTCAATACTCACCGCCCCCTTGACTGTCCATTCCAGCACTTATCTTGGTTACTAAGGCCAGCAGAGACTCTGCTATCAGAGCAAAGGGACAGAGGGAGAAGCTTCCAGAGACCACGCAAAGGGCGGAGCTTGGACACAACCTCTGATACCTATCACAAAGAAGATGATTTACAAGGTAAGAAAATACATAGAACACTCAGTGTTACTGTATATTATATACTGCAATCCGTGCTCACCAGTCTGTCTATGTTGGTACCGGCTGCTGACGTGGGTTTCTCATCATTGCTGTAAACTCGAAACCTCCTCTTGGGATCTTCTGGTGGGGAGCGTCGGGTGCGTGCTGGAGGCGGGGTTCCACAAGACTGGAAGATCTACAATACACAATGGTCATTCTTTATCAGCACAAATCTATAAAACAAATAAAAGAAAGACATTAACTACATTCAAAATATCTTCCCTTCCTTTCCTCACAACTGTATTATTATGGCTACAAGAATTACTCAGTATAAAAAGGAAGCTATAATGTATTTTTAGTCTGTTGTAATTATTGTAAAGTTTACCGGAAATCATTTTTACTTTGACTTGACATTTTATACTTTCACTTTACTTGTTTTTTTTCTGCTCTATATTTTATTACTGATATGTCCTATACAGATTTATAGAGTCTCCCTCTGCTATCTGTATATCAGCACCATGAAAATCATGAGCCTAAGATAATTTATGCACACTGTATATTTCTGAATTGAATCAATAATCCTTCTACATTAAAGTCTTAGCAGCAGCAAAGTGAATTTTTATCTCTTCACTCCATCACCTCCAGAACCGCTCACACCAGTGAACATCCTGGAACTCACCACTGTCACCAATGTTAGGGGGCACTTTACTGATCACCAATGTGAAAGGCACATCACCATTGACCACCAATTTAAGGGGGCACAATACTGACCACCAATGTAAAGGTGCATTACACTGATCACCAATGTAAAGGGCCACAACAATATGAAACTTCTCCACGGTCACCAATGTAAGGGGGCACCTCACTACTCTGATCACCAATATGAGGGAACACTACACTGACCACCATTTTAAAGGTGCATTACCCTGATCACCAATTTAAAGGGCCACTACAATGACCACCAATGTAAGGGGGCACCTCACCACCCTGACCACCAATATGAGGGAACACTACACTGACCACCACTGTAAGGGAACATTTCACCTCTGACCACTAGTGTAAGAAGATACTTCTCCACTGATAACCAATGTATGGGGACACTCTATATCGCCTAACTATGTAAGGTTAGACTGGCCACCCCACTGGCCACCAATGAAACAGGCCACTTCCCCACTGGCCTCCAATGTAAAGGGGCATTTCTCTACTGGCCATTAATGTAAGGAGGAGCCTTGTACACTGACCACCAATGTAAGGACACACTTCTCCAATGATCAATAATGTAGAGGGTAATTCCAATAATCACCAATATAAGAGGCTACTTTACTGTCCATCAATGTAAGAGCACTTCACTGACCACCAATGTAAGAGGGAACTGCACCACTGACCACAAATGTAAGAGGGCATGTCTCCACCGGCCACCAGTTTAATTAGGGCATTTACATTGTCCACCCATATAATTGGCCTTTTATTAGTGGGTCTTGTCCTTTCTACCGGCCATTAGTGTACAAGGGCGGGGGGCTTTTATTAGAGGAGGTGCTGTCCAATGAACATCAGTATAAAAGAGGTAAAAAACAATAAGAGGAAAGTAGAAGGGGGGGTGGGGGGCTGTCACTGAGCTTAGGGGCCACCAACATTTAGCTATGGTCCCTGTGATTTTTAGTTGTGCCCTTGCCACTGACCCATCCATGGTTTTGAGTCTATAACTGGAGGTGACACACGACATTGCAGCATTTAGCAACTAAATCAGAAACAATCCCCACTATATTTTCCTCCTAGAGGAGAACAAATGCAGTGTTCTAGGAAGGGAATCTGTGAAGGGAATGGACTATTACTTAAAGGAGAACTATGGGGTCAGTGTTTTTCCCCATAGTTCTCCTTAGGGTAACGGGAGGACACAAACTAGCGTCCTCCCGTTACCCTAAGCTCAGTATACCGCGAGCTACAGCTCGCGGTATACTGAGACGCCGCAGCCGGAGCGGATCCCGACTTAGACGACGGGATCCGCCCAGCTGCGTGAGTGACAGCTGGCTCTGCCTATCTAGAGGCAGAGCCAGCTGTACCCGCCCCCTCCCCCGTCCGTTCAGCCAGTCAGCGCGGGCAGATCGGAGCGGGAAGAGGGGAATCCAGCCCCTCCCCCTGTCACGGCAGAGAGCCGTGACAGGATCGAGAAGTGAGCGAACCCGGTATGTGTTCACTCATCTCCCGATCTACGGAGCCGACCTGTGATAGTCTCATTGTCACAGGTCGGCTAGAACTATGAGGTGAGTGAAAAGCACTCACCTCATAGTTCTCCTTTAACTTGCATTTTAACAGCCGAGCATCAGGCATTGCAAATAATAGAACTCATACTTGTATGCAATTGATTAGCAAAATTTTATTAACTTATTAACTTGTTAAGTTTGATGCCCCCTAACGTATACCTGAGTAGTTAGCTGTACGTGCTCCTCCTGCAGTGTCATTATGGCTTCAGATATTTTCACTGAAATCATCTCAGCAGCAAGTTCCACATTAAAAGGTCCAGTCAATCGCTCAGCCACTTCCTGCAGCCCATCTGAAAGAGGAGAAATGAAAGACACATGTGAACCTTTTCTTTTTACCTTCCGTATTCACATGATATATGTGTAACACAGTCAGTATTGACTCTCCTGCTTTGAATATAGGGAAAAGCCCTGAACATTTTGATGAGTAGTCCATTTTTTAAGTGTGCCAATATTTTGCAAACACTGATTATCTACTCAGCCTTGAATATTGATGATACTGATTATAGAGGATATCTCCATCAATATGAATGAGCAATTTAACTTTGAATTGTATTTATATTCTGCAGATATTGAAAAGCAGTCCATCTTTGAACTTTGATGTTACTGTCCAGAAGTGATCAGGCCCTGAACTGCATTCATATTCTGCAGCTAATATTGTAATATTGAACTGTGATGGTATCGTCCAGAATTGGTCAAGAGTGTAAACTGTTGGCCACTGTGAATCATCTACAGGAAGTATACTCGTTATGTTGAACTGTCACTAACTATGAGGTGAGTGAAAAGCACTCACCTCATAGTTCTCCTTTAACTTGCATTTTAACAGCCGAGCATCAGGCATTGCAAATAATAGAACTCATACTTGTATGCAATTGATTAGCAAAATTTTATTAACTTATTAACTTGTTAAGTTTGATGCCCCCTAACGTATACCTGAGTAGTTAGCTGTACGTGCTCCTCCTGCAGTGTCATTATGGCTTCAGATATTTTCACTGAAATCATCTCAGCAGCAAGTTCCACATTAAAAGGTCCAGTCAATCGCTCAGCCACTTCCTGCAGCCCATCTGAAAGAGGAGAAATGAAAGACACATGTGAACCTTTTCTTTTTACCTTCCGTATTCACATGATATATGTGTAACACAGTCAGTATTGACTCTCCTGCTTTGAATATAGGGAAAAGCCCTGAACATTTTGATGAGTAGTCCATTTTTTAAGTGTGCCAATATTTTGCAAACACTGATTATCTACTCAGCCTTGAATATTGATGATACTGATTATAGAGGATATCTCCATCAATATGAATGAGCAATTTAACTTTGAATTGTATTTATATTCTGCAGATATTGAAAAGCAGTCCATCTTTGAACTTTGATGTTACTGTCCAGAAGTGATCAGGCCCTGAACTGCATTCATATTCTGCAGCTAATATTGTAATATTGAACTGTGATGGTATCGTCCAGAATTGGTCAAGAGTGTAAACTGTTGGCCACTGTGAATCATCTACAGGAAGTATACTCGTTATGTTGAACTGTCACTATGGCCAACAACGACACAATGGAGGATGTTTGCGATATATTAAAGTGATAAACTTTGAAGTTTTTCTTCCAGGTCTACTATACCCCATCAATTTTGTGTACCCTGGGTCTCTGCCCCTCTCCGCGGTGCTTTAAGTGTTGTGGTCAGAGGGCGGATTTCTTTCACTCTTTCTGGTCTTGCCCACACGTGTACCTTCTGGTCTGATGTTACCTCTTATTTGGATACTTGTTTGGGCCTCACCTATATATGTAATCCCTCCTTTTGCCTTTTAGGACTGTTTGGAAAGCTGGCACTGGATTCTGGGGCTCAGAGCCTTATCCATATTCTCCTCTTTTATGCCACGAAATCCATTCTTCTGGTATTGAGTAGCCTTAAGGCTCCTTCTCTGAAGTTGATGGATGCATATAGTTAATCAATCTCTGCCTCTCTATAAAATTACGTATAAACAAAGGGGCAATCTGCAGCGCTTTGAACATATTTGGAGTCCATGGTTGTCTTCTATTGATACGACTGTTGATCTTCCCGATCTTTTGGACATAATGTTGACATGTTATTTGCTGATTTCTATGACCTGTACTGGAGATGCTGTCATACATTACCTTCCTATTCTGGTGTACTGAGACTGTAAGCATTGTTAGGAATGTTTGATTCCTGTTTTATGTTTTGCTGATGTTGTATGTTCTATACAAAAAAATTTAATAGAAAGCATCTTAAAAAGTGATAAACTTTGAGTAGTCTATGGCTTTTGCTGGCTCATTGTTGGAAATATGCTTGCCTGAGCCCCCCTGTCTCACTAATTGCTTTACTACCCTCTGTCATAGAGGACTTAGGTTTAAAGGGGTATTACCCTCTTTTTCTGTTGAATTTATTAACTAAATCATTACTGGGGACATTATTCATCATGCCAGTTATGCCATCATGTCTATGCTGCATGTTAATTTGTCCAGGCTGCAGAAGACCTAGGCCTGCGGTGACTTTTGCGTTCTGATTGAATCCACAGAAAAACACCAGATTATCTGATTAGACATCTCCAGTTTTTTATTATCAGTGTGCGTACTATTCATCGTACTATTCATCGTACTTTGCCATGTTTCAGGTCTGGTATGACCCTTTCAAGCCAACGTCAGCTCTACACTAATCAAAAGAAAGATCACCAGAATGCTGTTGGCCATGAAGCCTACAAAGTCAAGGACAAGGATGACAAATTGTGGACTGAGCCTATTTGTTACCTGGAGCTGCATGTTAAAGCGACTACAATAGCAGAAAACAATTGCCATTAGAACAGAAAGCTACTATATCAAAGGCCACAAACCTATCAAACTGTTCCAGTCTGCATCCATGTCCGCCTGGTGTGCGAGGCAGCCTTTCATGACGTTGAGGCAGAGTCCGTGGCAGGGCAGGAGGGATGTGTAACCTCGGCAGAGTGGGCAATACCACATGCGCATGGCAGCCCGGAGACAATCAGGAGGTGGCACAGCCTGAGCACAGAAAAGTAACTGTATTAGTTGCAGCATAAAAAACAAGCATCTATCACACAGGTTTCCCTTATTTCTTCTAAAGTGAAGCGCTTGTAATAAAAATCTGTGTGTTACCAATAGCAACTAGATTACAGATGTCACTTTCTGGTGCAGGACAGAAGATAAGAGGAAAGTAAAAGCAAAATGTAAGCTGCCCTTACTGACCCCCTTCTTAGCGTTTGTTCATATCATGTTGTTGTCGTGACACGCACATTGCCACACACTTTACCACAACACACACAATGCATATTAAGTGTGTTGGTGCAATGCATTGCCATTCATTCTGAATGGCACCCTAAAGTAGCTTATGACAGGTGTGCATTGCACAACTAAACTTTTTGTGGTGTGCTGCAAAAAGTGTTGCATGCACTATTTTTTGGCAGCACACCGCAAAACATGTTAGTGCTTTGGCATTTGTTGCAGCATCCCTCAGCAAGGTGTGTTGGGGTGTCATTCAATGGCATAACATTGCACCAACGTACGTTACCTACATTGTGGTAAAGCACACAGTAACAAATGCATTTTAACAACAACATGGTCTGAATGGGCCCTGCTGTCCATGTCACCAAGCAGGAGAAGGACAGAAGCATAGCCCCCTTCTGCCCATGTCACCCTGCAGGAGGAGGACAGACTCATAGCCCCCTTCTGCCCATGTCACCCTGCAGGAGGAGGACAGACTCATAGCCCCCTTCTGTCTGTATCACCCTGCAGGAGGAGGACAGACTCATAGCCTCCTTCTGTCTGTATCACCCTGCAGGAGGAGGACAGACTCATAGCTCCATTCTGTCTGTGTCACCCTGCAGGAGGAGGACAGACTCATAGCCCCCTTCTGTCTGTCACCCTGCAGGAGGAGGACAGACTCATAGCCCCCTTCTGTCTGTGTCACCCTGCAGGAGGAGGACAGACTCATAGCCCCCTTCTGTCTGTATCACCCTGCAGGAGGAGGACAGACTCATAGCTTCCTTCTGTCTGTATCACCCTGCAGGAGGAGGACAGACTCATAGCTCCCTTCTGTCTCTATCACCCTGCAGGAGGAGGACAGACTCATAGCTCCCTTCTGTCTGTATCACCCTGCAGGAGGAGGACAGACTCATAGCTCCCTTCAGTCTGTGCCACCCTGCAGGAGGAAGAACAGACTCATAATTTCCTTCTATCTGTGTCAGCCCACAAGAGGAGGACAGACTCATAGCCCCCTTCTCTCTCTGACACCCTGCAGGCGGAGGGACAGACTCACAGACTCTATTTGTATATGCCAAAATTCAGAGGAAAAGACAGACACATTGTCCCTTCCTGTCTGTGTCATCCCTGCTGCCTGTGTCATTGCATCACTGTACTGGGTATACTGTTGTACCTTGGCAGCTCTGTTGACAATGTCACTTCCTATTGCCAAGCCTTGCACCAATGTTCTGGCAGCTCCTAATGATCGTGTTACCTGCAAAAAATAAATAAACAGTCACAAACAATACCACACATGATCTCCAGTAAAAAAAAGGCTTTTCTACAGGATGATAATACATAGGAAGATACAAAATCAGAGGTGCCAACAACTTAACATTCAATAAGGCAGAGATTTTTAATCAAAAGCTTTGGCCTATGCATTACTGGAAGCCTGGGCTCACTTCAAAGCTAAACACAACGATAATAATAGTGTGCGTTGCTGGTGATAGTAGGAGGGCTATAGTTACCTTAAATACATAAAGTGTATCATACGCCATAACCTTCTTTGGTTTTGCTTTGGGTACAGTAGGGAATGCTTAGAACCCCTGCCAGGATTTATCTGGATTTTCATTGGGAAGATTCAGCCTCGCTGCAAGTCCTAGTGACTACTGTCATTGGGATTTAAAGTGATGGGAAATCCAAAATGTATGGTTGTCACCAGAACAGGAAATACAGGATAAATTCACAAGGTGTATGTCTGCTGTGTTGACAGCTGTCTAAAAATAGAGTTTCCCTCACCTCAGTTTTCCTATCGAATCTTTAGGACAAGAAGTGAGGGAAAATCTTTCCAAAGGGCACAGATAGCAATATATATAATATATACTGTATATATACTCTAAGGAGATGCCGCCATCTTGCCAATGCGGGGCAAAGTGACAATGCATTGCAAAGGGGCCTTTCTGACCCACTGATACTCACCTTGCCAGCCCTTCATCACTGGACCTTCCTCCATCGCGGCTTGCACTAAAATCTGCTGCTGGACATTAGGGTGAGCAGTGATTTCTCTAACAATTTCATGTGACATCGTTCATGACAAGACCCCAGCTACGATACCTGAGCACTGTCACATAAGAGGAGGTCTCATGTTCCCCCATACCCGAAAACACTTGCTATTGTCACCAACTGCAGGTTAGCATGGAGTGACAGGAAAGCGCTGGAAAGTTCAGTGTCAATGGATTGGGGAGCCCCTTTGCATAGACCCTGTCACTTTACCCTGAATGGGAAAGGTTATAGTGTTTTTTTGGTGAATGGCTCTGTACCCTCAGTAAAGGACTCCATCATTTGTTAGAATTATATTAATTAGTAAAATGGAAGTATATGTTCAGCAAAAATACTGACACCTAGGTACTGGAATCTGACCATACCGCCCTCGCTTAAAGAATGGATCGCAGAAGTAGATCAAATTTAAAATCTGGAATATAGAGGATTGAAAGAAAAACGACACATTAATAAAGTGAATTTATTAATTTACAGCTCAGCGTCTGAACAATGTAACATTATCATTGCTTGCAGGAAGCACTGTATGATGGGATACGTAGTCTTGAGAAATGGAGATCGCATCACATCAAGCAGGGAACGATGCAAAGCACACTGGGAATCCAGGAAGTTGTTGGCAGTGATGGGCAGATGGAAGGCAGCACTTACTACATAAAAGGGTTTTTCTCATGTAAGCTTTGATTGAATTATGAAAAACTCTAGTATGTATTCCTATTACAATGCTGATGTTATAACAGAATGGTATATGCTGGGACTATACAACTCCTTTACCAAGAATCTCCTTTATCTTTCCTTAAAGAAACAATCCAGTTAAAACTTTTATTAACTCTTGCACTGGGGCTACCCCCACACTGCAAAGGATAACTGCTTATTTTTACCTAGGGTCAAAAATAACAAAGTTATACTCAACCAAACCGCCAAGCCAGCCAGCAGTCACGGCGCTCCCTCCTGCCTGTCTCCCCCTCCGCTGCAGCGATGGTATTTTGCTCAGCGTCCTCACATCGCATACAGTGTATTGGACGTGATGACTCGAGGATCCTTAGACTCTCCGCAATGGAGAGGCAGAGAGGCTCCCGGGACCAGTCTAAGAGCCGGGTGAGTATAACTTTTTTTTTCTTTTTTTTAACCCAAGGCAAAAAATGAGCAGTTAACCCTTACAGTGCAGGAGTAGCCCCCTGCAAAGGTTAATACAAGTTTTAACTGGAGTTGTTCTTTAAAATGGATAGATGCAAATGTGTATTATTACCCTTTTTATGTGCAAATTCAATGACATTTGTTACTCTACTATTCGAACTTTGTACTTTCTCTGTTTTTTTACTGTCTATGGTTTATATTTATACAAAACTTCTTTTAACCTCTTGCCGTCCGCCCGTAGTAGAAAAACGGACGGACGGCACTGCTGCATCTGCGGGTTGCCGTCTCCAGACGGCAATTTTTTTCTGCTCGCGCGCGCCCCCTAGCGGGCACGCACGGGCAGAAAAGACCCGACAATGCACACACCCGGTACCGGGTGTCACACATATAGGCGATCAGCGGGTCCATAGCCCGCCGATCGCCTATATGTGCTCG